TAGAATAGAATAGAATAGAATAGAATAGAATAGAATAGAATAGAATAATAGAGTTAGAAGGGACCTTGGAGGTCTTCTAGTCCAGTAGCCCCCAACCTTTTTTGAACCAGGGGCCGGTTTCACGATTATTTATTCTTCCACGGACCGGTACCTGAGTAACGCGAGACTCCACCGCCATCGGGACGGCTCTTCGTTCGAAGCCGCCCCCCCCTCTTCGATGAAACTAAGGCGCGAGCACCCAAACGCCGCTTTCCAACTGAAAACCCGGAAGCACTTTCCAACCGAAAACCCGGAAGTGCCGTCGAAACAAGATGGCGGCGCCCAAGCTTTGCGGCCCGGTAAAAAATGATCCACGGACCGGTACCAGTCCAGGGACCCCTGTATCTAGTCCAACCCCCTACTTAGGCAGGAAACCCTACACCACTTCAGACAAATGGTTATCCAACATCTTTTTAAAAACTTCCAGTGTTGCAGCTGAGAGTAGAGAGTAGAGTCCCATTTCCGTATTTGGGGAACTACAGTATCCTCAAAATGAAGGCCCTTCATGGTGTGTTGCAGTGGTGGGATTCCAATTTTTTTTACGAATGGTTCTCTGGGCATGGCTAGGTGGGCGTGGCTAGGTGGGCGTGGCCACGTGACTGGGTGGGCGTGGCTTTTTTCAGCAGCCCTCCCCCCATTTTGGGGGCATTCTGGGCCTCAGGCAAGCCACCAGGGTGGGGGATTTGCTCCCAGAAGGCTTCCGTAGGGCTCAGAAAGGAAAAAAACTGAGCAAAGGGGGGGCTCAAAAAAAAAAACCCGCGCTTTGTTTTTGGGCCTTCTGCGCCTCAGGGAAGCCTCCTGGGGGTCGTTTTTGCTCCCAGAAAGCTTCCCCGGGGCTCAGGAAGGCAAAAAATGGAGCCTGGAGGGAACGTACAGCACCCCCCTCCGGGCTCCATTTTTTGCCTTCCTGGGCCTCAGGGAAGCCCCCTGGATGAAGCAGTAAGACAGCGAGAGGAATCCCGGCGCAGCTGATCATCGAAACAGCTGATCGTCGGGAGGGGAAAAAAAAAACCTTAAGGAGTGACTGGGCAGGGAAGAACGCAGTCAGTGATGTCAGGCATGCACGCAATGTTGCTCATGCGTGATAAGGACTGACTGGGCAGGGAGGGGAGGGGCGACCATGTCAGGGGCGTGGCCAGCTAGAAGTTACTACCGATTCGGCAACTCACTCCAAATCCTTGCTACCGGTTTGCCCAAACCAGTGCGAACCAGTTGTATACCACTACTGGTATATTGCCAAAGAAGAGATATCCACTCACCCGTCGGGGTACAATCATAGAAATGGGTTCAATCAGGTTTTTGGCCGGAATCAGTTTATAAAACCGGAAGATCTCGCAGGCACAGACATCGAGGCCCCTCTTGGGCATCACACCTGACAGCAAAAAAAAAAAAAAAGTTATGACTAGCTCATATGACATTCTGCCAAAACATGGGATTGGGAAATCCAATTGCTGCTGTTCTCCTCTGCAGAACAGGATACAGTCATGGAGGAAGGAAACAGAGAAAGCTGAAATCTTTCCCTTGACCAGCACTACACCCCCGGGCCTAGCCAATTTTCTTAAAGAGAACAAATTACTTCCATTTGTAATTTAATTTTTTAAAAAATGTAACTACCGTAAAATGATTCTTCCTTTTCTGATCTTGTCTAGAGTTGCTAGGTAACAACTTAAAATCCTCCCTGTCTCTTACATTCCAGCCACTTCAATTCATTCCTCTTTCAGTCTCATGGTCTAAGAAGGCAGAGCTTGTGGAAAATTGATGCACCCATAATTGTAATAACTTTTATAGTCATAGGCTTGGGACTATCCACTCTCCTTCTATCCGTGGACTTGCAGATATCCACCATTAGTCTTCTAAGAGTTTCTTGCTCTTGTGCTTTCAAATAGACCAGATGAAAACTCCTTAGAAGAGTTGGAAGCCCAGTGAAAAAACAATTGTCAAAATTCTCTTGGCAAAGGTTTTCATTCAACCTTCCACTATCTGGTCCCTCCAGATGTGCTCGTCTACAATTTCCATCACCTCCTGCCAACACAGTCAAGGTCAATGGTGAGGATAATCTGAACCGTAATTCAACATATCGGGAGAACGCCAGGTTGGGGAAGGCTGGTTTAATCAATATTCTGAGAGATAAAGGCCCAGAAAAACAAATGTCATGAGCCAATGCTTTGCAGCCCACGACAAAAGTGAAGCGAGGGAAAATAGGCTGGATGCTTATTATCTGCCTATGGCCAGCTGCCCCCTCCCTCAATGCATCAGTTGTTCACAGGCACCCTGTTCTGGTTCCCCAGCATACAAACTGCAGTGAAGCTGCTGCAAACTTACCAACTCCTTTCTGAGGGAAAAGGGAACGATATTCCATCAGGTAATGTAGGTATGGTTTCTCCACATTTATCTCATAGTACTTGATGTTCCCATCTCCCTAAAGATAATTGTAAGAGTTAGAAATTCAATGTATACCCACTTCCTCTTCCCAGGGGAGCAGCTTGAGCGTGGATCTGGAAAATCCAGTATTATACTCAGAGGTGAACTTGATTAAATTATTTTTGGCAGTTTAGAATAACATGTGGCTCCTGGTCTGGAAATGGAGTCCTGGCCATTGGACTTCTTTTCTTGCAGCTTTAAATGTTTCACTGCTTATCCAAGCAGCTTCTTCAGTAGGAGCAAGGAGATGGATTCCCTTATATGCCCTCCAGGGAGGTTTCATTTCTACCTAATCTGGATGAGCTTGTTAGGCAAGGCAAGAAATAATGGATGGAAACTAAACCAGGAGAAAAGCAATCTAAAATTAAGGAGACATTTCCTAACAGTCAGAACAATTAACCAGTGGAACAGCTTGCCTTCAGAAGTTCCATCACTGGAGGTTTTTAAGAAGAGACTGGACAGCCACTTGTCTGGAATGGTATAGGTGTCCTGCTTGACTAATAGAATAGAATAGAATAGAATAGAATAGAATAGAATAGAATAGAATAGAATACCTTTATTGTCATTGCATTCTACAAATACAATGAAATTTGAAAGCTACTCCAGCCTAGTGTCCCAAACACCACATCACAATCACACTACAGAGTATTTCAAAATTAAAATAATTAAATAATAATTAAAAACCTAGTCTAAAACCTATCTAAAATATATAGTAAGTTAGATAAGTTTTAAAATGCCACTATATGCATAGGGCTAAATCACAAAGGCACTGTTTGATTCAAGACAATTATTGCCTTGGAAAAGAATCTGTTTGTCAATCTATTAGTCCTCATTTTTAAGACACCTATAACGCCTCCCTGATGGTAACAGTTCAAAATATGAATGTCCAGGATGAGACCAGAGGGTTGGACTAGAAGAACTCCAAGGTCCCTTCCAACTCTGTTATTCTGATCTTAAATCTTAACCACCTCACAGATTCACCAGGGAGGCCACACTTATATGACCCACTAGGTAAAGGATTTCAGAGTTGGAACATTTGCATCCCAATGACTCCCTGCCTACTCACCTAACAAGCCTATCTAGATTAGGTGAGAAATAGGGCATATGCCAAGGCCATATTCTACATCAGCAAAAACCATATAGCAATCCCCAACTTTCCTTGAGAGTTCTAATGAGTGCAATCAGACTTGGAGACTACCATCCTTATAAGTTTCCTATATAGCTTGGATCTGAAACTAACACAGGAAAGCATATCAACATCCTAAATTCTGCCAGTAAAAAGAGTGGGGGATGTGGGGAACCAGAAAAATTGCAATATTGGACAAGAAGCACAGCATCTGAGTAGCGTCTCCTGTCTTCAGCCAAGTGGACTTAGAAAACAAGAATTTTTGTTGGAAGGGAGCTGGCAGGCAATATATCAGTGGGAATTCTGGGAGTTGAAGTCCACACTGTTTACAATGGCCAGAGTTGAGAAATACTGCGCTGTAAAAATTACTGTACTAATCACAGCACCAATTGCATTGCTTTGCAACTATGCAACTTATTGTCACAGTCAATTATTTCCACTCCCGCTTAAGAACTCACCTTGCTTAACACATACAACATATGGGTGTCTGTATCATAGAAAGGGAACAGGAGGCCTGATGACCCATCCACATCTTCCTCATGTAAAGGCACAGAAAGATCATCCTGTATATACAGGTGATGGAAACAGAAATGACTGCTATCAGGTTTTCAGTGTATCCAGAAAAATCAGAGAACACAAAGAATGAGCATATCCTCTCACCCATCCAAATCATGTCAAATAGACCCTATTCTCACTGCAGTGATACATTGGAATTAATGCTTTAAAAAAAAACCCTTCAGGCTGCAGGTAGGAACTCCAAACAATCAATCAGCTTTTACATACGGATCTAAGAAATGGCGCTGTAGGTTTTCTGTGCTGAAGTCCTGTTTGGAGTGGGGCGGGTGGGAAGAATCCAAAGCAGTCTTCACTGCCAGAAATAATGCAAGGCCGGACTTTCCCATCACAAACTCAGCCTATCTGAACTTGGAAAAAAAAATACAACTGAAGCACCAATATCATGCCAGGCAGCGCAAAGACAACTGCAACGTTAGGACATAAATATGACAGGAATGTGTAAAGGTGAAATCTTAAGGCATTCTGCAGGCTTTTGGCTTCCTCCTGGCACTGTAAAAGATGTGCCTCTATCAATGAATGGGCCTTTAACCCTATGATTATATGTTGAGCAGAACCTTCACTTTCCTTCATGTCTCTACAGTTTAAGGCAGCGGTCACCGACTGGTGGGCCACGAGAAACTTTGGTGGGCCACAGAGAAATCTCACCCCCAGAGCACTCCCCCAAAGCAATTAATCCAGGCTGTGCGGAAACACAAGGCTGCGCCGCCCACATGGCCCGCGGAAACCCTCACTGCCCACTCACTCCTTACCCGGCAAACTTGCCTGCTAAATTGCTATTTTTCCGACCATCTGCTGTTCTGCTGTGCCGGGTGATTTAGATTAGCTAGGAAGCAAGAAATGGTTGGATTTCTTGCTTTCTAGCTAGTCTTTAAGATCTTCGGCCCCGCCCCCATCTATTCTCTGCCTCCTGAGTCCCAGCTGATTGGCTGGGTCTTCTTTTGTTGCCCTGCACAAGAGAATGGAGCTGGAAAGCAGGTTAGTGGGGTGGGAAGGGAAGGGAGATTTTACGGCATCCTTCCCCTGCCACGCCCACCAAGCCATGCCCACCAAGCCACGCCCACAGAACTGGTAGTAACTTTTTTTGAATCCCACCACTGGTTCAAAGTTACAACGGCACTGAAAAAAATGACCGTTTTTCAGAGTTATGACTTTTGCAGGGCAAAATGCTCATGTGACCAGAATTCAGATGCTTGGCAACTGGTTCATATTTATTTAGCTGCAGTGTCCCAGGGTCACATGATCAGTTTTTGTGGCCTTCTGACCAGAAAAATCAATGGGAAATCCAGATTCACTGAACAACCAGATTACCAACTTATCAACTGCAAGTGATTCACTTAACAATGGTGGCAAGAAATGTTGTAAAATGGGGCAAAACTCACTGAACAAATGTCTCACTTCACCACAGAGAATTTGGGCTCAAATGTGGCCATACGTTGAGGATTATCTGTAGTTTCTTTGAACCTGGTCAAATTTTTGTTATGTTGTATGCAAAATTAGGCAGACTCCAACTACCCACTGATAATCCACCATTAATTATAAGATATTATTTTGTTTCTTTTTCATTATCATTTTTTAAATTATTGTTTTTAATGCTTTTATTTGTGATGCTGGCCCGTGACCATAATAAAAATGGATTGATGAGGCAATCAGCCCAACCAAATGGTCAAGCTTTTCCTGGCCTGAACCACTTTGGACACTGGGATACAGTTTTATCTTTGAATGCTTGTTCATAAGCAACAGCAATAGCGCTGAGACTTATATATCGCTTCACAGTGCTTTGCAGCCCTCTCCAAGCGGTTTGCAGAGTCAGCATATTGCCCCCAACCATCTGGACCCTCATTTTATTGACCTCAGAAGGATGGAAGGCCGAGTTAACCTTGAGCCTGGTGAGATTCGAATTGCCAAATTGCAGGCAGCCAGAAGTCAGCAGAGGTAGCCTGCAGTACTGCATTCTAACCACTGCGCCACCATGGCTCAGCATAAGTTTCCTCTGATATGAAAGCAGGCTGAGAGAAGCCTTCATAAGAAATACATCTAAAGAGAGTGGTATATTCGTCCCAGAGTTACACTCGTTTAGAGCGTAGATGAGGTTGACACTGTCACATCCGAACAGCTAAAAGAATGCCTGAAATAGTCTTTGGTTGTCAGTCCCAGCTCCAGACCAAGAAATCAGTTTCCCAAGTAGACTAAAACTACTTTTGATTGGCTGTTATAATAGGATCTTGCAAGTATAACTGAGTTGTACCTCTTTCCCTTATAGCAGGCCTGTTAAACTGGTGGCCCGCAGGCCAGATATGGAGGCCATGCTCACCTCGGCTCCACAAAGGCAAAAAATCATGATCCGGCCTGTGATGCAATTGAGTTTGAATCCCGTGCCTTATACTTTAGTGCAGGGGTCTTCAAAGTTGACAGCTTTAAGACTTGTGGACTTCAACTCCCAGAATTCCTCCTCCAGTCATGTTAGCTCAGGAATTCTGGGAGTTGAAGTCCACAAATCTTCAACTTGCCACGTTTGAAGACCCTTGCCTTAATGGGTTAGGAACATGACTGTCTGGGCTGCCTCTGGACATTCTGGAATTAAAACACATTTTACTCCTTGCCATCTTGGCAACGAAGCTTGTACACCTCCATCGAGATCATCTTCCTTATTCTCTACATCTGTGAAGGGATCTTATGGTGTTTTACCATGAAACTCACCTGATCCCACAAGGCAATCTGCCTATTATTCCACCTGGATGTCCCTGTGGTGAGCAGCCTTTTCAGGTTTCCTAAAAACACAACTTTATTCACTCGGTGAGATTTGCTGCTTGCTTCCTGTAAGAAGACATAGCACGTTAAATGATAGGAAATCGAATACCTCAAATATTTCTCCTTTCGTGGAAATCTGCCTACCTTCGTTAATTCTTCAGTCTTCTGAAATCTCTCCACAACCACCCGAGTTCATCTCCCTTGCATAGTTACATTTAGTTGACACAGCAATGTATTTTAAGAAATACTAGCAGATCAATTAAAAAGTAGGCTAATTAAAAGTAGATATTTCCAATCTGTGACCCAAGGGCTTATGCGGCCCTGGATAGCTAGTAATGTGGCACCCCCAAAATAGTAAACTTTTAA